CATACAAGAAGACCAAGTGTATTGGTCTGAGAGAGCTGGGGGAATCCTGAGACTATGGTCTTTCATCAGCTCTCAGGTTTGTAAATGAGCCACACCATGGCTCAATTTTCAACCTAACAATGGACAGAGCTATTAGGGGACTCACGACACTAGGAAGGTCCACATACCTCGGAATAATCAAGCATTTGAAATCCAAAGAGCAGCGTTTACCTAAGGGCAAAATCCAGAACGGCCAGGCAAGAAGGGGAATGGGAACATAGAGCACGGGGAAGGGGACTAAGGGTGTCACGCTGAGGGAATTGCACTCAATGCAATGACACAATGTGTAGGAATTGCCGAATGGAAAACCAATTTGTTCTGTAAAACCACACCCAGTTAACAATAAGAAATCAGCAAGAAATGAACAAAAAAATCCTACAACAATCAAATAGAGATAAAATATGCAATGCACAGTCAAGGCTTTTGTTCAACTATCATATTGATTCAAGCTTGCCCAATGTTTCTAAAGTACAGTATACACTTTATGTTCACTGCCAGCACTACACCTGCACAGTTATAAAATACTTGCAAAATCTTTCATTTGTATTTGCTTTTTATTGGTATTTTCTCTGTTGGTTTTACAATGAAAACACCTTTAGGAGGCATGTAATAGTAAAAGTTCAGCCAATGCTTGTCTAGCTAGATTTCAAATTTCTTATTACTTATTTGCAGACTTCAAGAGCAGTTATGACACATATTATTATCAAATTTGTAGAAAGAGAGGATTATTGATTAGACCTTCTGTAATGTCATTGCTGTGATTAACAAATTTTGGTTAAGGCAATAGGAATCAAAGTTCCATGTCACTTTTGAGGAATATTCAGAAATCAATAAGTTTATAATCATTAAACTTGAACAAATTTCTGGTAGTGTCAGGAATTTGAAAATAAGAATATTAGTTTCTCTTTTTGGTAAAAATTATGAATTTGGCAATTAAAAATTTTATATTACTTCATGTTTTAAACTTGCAGGAAGTAAGTTATATTGAGTGTAAAACATCTATCATCATTTCAACCTAACTCCCATAGGAAAATGCTCTTTCTTGTTCCTTTGCAAATGGGTGTGTATGTACATGTAGCAAACAAATACACCCAGGACAATGAAATAATGTAAGAAATCTATGAAACTTGCTTAACTTCCCTCCCCCAATTAATAACAAGAAATATTAAAATACAACACACAATAACAAAACATCCTCCAAAGTAAGCTTTTCCATGTTGATCAATTTTTTTATTTTATTTTGATGTGCACAATTATTGTTCCTTCTGATGTAGGAACATGTAGGAACATTTATCATCCTTCTGATGATAAACGAATAAAGGTTACATTTATGCAGTCAGCTATAAGAAAGACAACATTAATCTATGTCCTGCTGAACCCATCCTTAAACATCTCTAGAAGACACTTCTCCATAGGGGAGAATTGATGAAAAATGTCATACTGCAGCTGGATAACACCATTGATAGCGGTGATATCAATCACTGAATTGGGAGTTAATTTAAGGTGTTCTCAAGTGGAAACAGCTTAGATTTTGAAACAAAACAGGGAAAAATTCCTAGGAAATCATGGTTAATTCATTTGATGGGGTTTGTTTATGTCTCTGATGAGAATAGGGCATCCTCCACGGAAATGTCCACAAAACCAACCAAACGAGCCCAACAAGCAAAGCCCCGGTAATCAACCAAATTGTGCGGAATTCATGAAACAATGATTGCTGGACAAATGTTTTCTGCTGAAAGTTCAGGGAAAGGAAAATTACATGGCAACACTTATCAATTTTAAGTCTACACTGTCCAAGGAACATGAGAGATTAGTAATTCTTCAGCATGAAGAGTTCAGGCATAATTCTTTGCATGGTGGAGAGGTTAATCAGTCATCCTCACTTTATAAAGATGGTCCTTTATGAACAGCAAACAACCTTTCATTTTCATTCCTCTCAATATCGAGGCACCATATTTACCACCCAACCTTTAATGACTCGGTGCCAGGGCCATTGGTTTGGTCAGCTTTCGCCCCTAATTGAAATCTAGATTTATGAATGTTCCTTATGAGTGTGATTGACCCGCTGGAGCACTCCCGATTCCAGCCACCCACAGGCAATCCTGAGAACCACCGTTTAAAAAATAGGAAAGCTGCTGATGAGTTCTTGGAATGAGATCCTAATTCTCCCTCTTGATATAATTTTTAAATTGTGACAAACAGTTGTTAGTTCGTGTTCTACTGGCTTCAATGGCTTGTTTAACAAGAAGTCTTTGGTCTAAAGCAGTGGCTTATCAACTTTTTGATGATTTTCTCATTAAAAATTATATTCTTATCATGATCCAGCACAGAAATGCATAGGCATTTTTGTAGTATGTATATAATTGAAAAAAATAAATAAATAAATTTGATCAAACAATGCTTATTATAGTGATATGTGAAATTATTTTTCTCCTTTATTTCATTTAAAACATTTTATTACACTTTATTAAATTGATTACAAAGAACACTCATGAGTTGAGAGCTAAGATTTAAGAAACATTGATGTATATTATTCAAATGTCCACTCTAATTATATTATAAACTATTCAGTTGACATTCCATACCTGAGGGTCTGTCTTCCCAATGCAAATTACTACCCCTTATTAGCAAATATATTTTAAGAGAAGACATTACTGAAATGTGACCATTTTTTCTATGTGCAGAATCTCATTTAGCTCATTCACAATCTTCACTTTTACTAAACAAAACAAAACAAAACAAAACCCTCTATTCTAAATAGCAGAAAGCTTATTTTGAGAAAAACAAGAAATGATCAAGGTTGAAAACGAGGCAGGGGACATGTAAAGCATTCTCTCTTGACAATGGAAAGTGTGCACTGAATTCCCGATAGCTATCCAAATCTGATTTAGTTTTCACTTAGAAACAATAACCATCATCCTCTCACAGAGCAACACAACAACAACCAACACAACGGATCCAAGCAACTCCTTTATGCACAGACATACTCATTTAGAGAACATTTAGGGGGGCATTGATACTCAATTATAGTAAAACATTTCTTTTAATCTAGTAAAGATCATACAGCATGTTTTATGTAGCTTCCATAGAGCAGAATGTGAACTCTTATAATGAATGTTTCAATGAAACTAGGAAAGGAATGTAGCTTTTTTAATATTTCCACCAATCCTGAAAGTGGAAGCCATTATTATATACCATTTATTTAACACAGTTTTGCTAGGCTCGGTTTTACTATAACTCATTCTGAAAGTACTTTGTTGTAGAGCTAGCTTCTGTTCTAAAATATATTATCATTGTCTGTTTAAACTGCTTTTCAGATTCTATTACCTTTAAATTAAAGTAAGCATTGCTTGAAAGCAGAAAAAATCTATTAATTTTGTCAATATGGAGAAAGGTTATTTTCCAAACAGACTGTTTAATGTAAAGGGACTTAATATAGAACCCATTAGAAACGAGTCTATACAAGCCCTTAAAAATGTTAGAGATCTTTTGTTGTTTAAAATGAAAGTCCTACCCCAGCTCAGCTGAGCTTATAGCCCAAGTAAATATTTATGTATAGATTTATAAATCTTAGAAATAGAGTTTTATGGAAATTTTAACAGGCCCTGAGGTATAGCTGAACTTGTTTTCAGGTACTGCTATAATTTCCAGTGTGTGAGTCTGCTTAAAGACTGAAATACAAAAGACGTATTTCTAATGCTGTAATTTCGTAGTTTTATTAGACTGAGTTATAGTTTGGAAGAATATTCAGAAATTGCAGCTTAAATGAGAAAATGTGAATGGTGTTACTTACATAAAAAACTATTGCAATAGTTCTTTTATTAATTTTTAATGTTCAGCACCCTCTGTGACCTCCTTTAGCCTCTTGCTGTCAACATGGCCGGCTGGAAAAATTGAAACGGGCTGACAGAAAACACCGTGCACGTTGCAGCCAAACTCCGGAGGCTCTGGGCTCCCTTTCTGTGGGCTCCTACGACCCCCCTCCATGCTGTCCTGCATTACAGTAATATGTAAGGCCTTGTTTGATAGCTCCTGGTAAAAGAGCGTTGTGTCTGGACCCCGAGCTGGTGCTCCTTGCCAGCATTCTGGACATGGTGGCAATGGCATTCAGTTAAAAGCAGAATGCCGCCGCCCCCCGCCCCCTTTATTGTGGCTCATGCACACACTTCATGCTTTCCAAACGTAATGCCTCAGCATGGGCAGAAGCTTTATTTGCGTCTCTCCTGCCTCTTCCCCAGCACATTTTGGTCTGATTCAGCAAGGCCTTTCTTGAACAGTGAGACACTGTTATGTATATTTACCACTGTCTCTATCTGCAAGGAGACTAATCCCCATACCAGTACAGTCGAGAACCTCCCATTAGCTTCGCCAGTCCAAGGTCATGCCACAGCAGCAGAGTACAGAGGTCAAAGACACTGAACAGGACTTTGGGAGTAAAACTTCCCCAGTGCTGTGTGGCGCCGAGGAGCGCGGGCAGGAGTGAGGTCTGCAGTCGGGTCAGCTTCAGCTCCCAAAAGCCAGTTTAATGGAGCAGAGTAACAGCAAGACTTTTCAGAGAAGGTAGATTTTTTTTTTTTTAATTCTAGGAAGAATGAAAACTAACTCAAACTACCAAGCAGATGTAACAATCAAGATGTTTCTACTTTTCTCTTCCAGCACCCTCGTGTCGGCCTTTCATAAACGATAAGAAAATGGTGACTCTGCGGGACTCTGGGAAAAGTGCAGACCACAAGAGAATACAATTGTTGGAAGACCCTGTCTCAACACTCTCTCACTTTGTACTAATAGTTACTTGAGACCTCCGTTCAATCTGTCCCATCTATCGTAACTGTTAGGAGTGGTGTCCGACAATGAATGATAAGAATTTGGCATTAGAAAAACACGATACTCTTGCTTACAACATGATCTGACTTTTTAGCAATCTCAGAGGAAGCAGAATGCCAGGAAAGAGCGCCACCTACCAGACACGCCCCCATACGTGGTCCGCTTCCCCACACCCACTGCAGGCCAGGGCACGCCGTCAGCATTCAGTCCCATCAGCCCCGAGACGGTGTTGGTGGCTGTGACGCCGTCTGCACCACCTGTGAAAAACGCACCAACAATTCCCTGCAGTTCTGAAGGGCAAAATCATTATTTCCCATTGAAACCCACACAACCCAAGAAAAGCTTATGACGCTTTATCTTAAGAAAGTTTCTTCCCTCAAATCGCTTCACCAATTTAACTCCTACAACAATATTTAAAATGCAAGGAATAAAAACAAAATTTCACTTGCCCCCACTCCCTTTCTTCAATTATGATGCAGAATTTTGATTCCAAAAGTTTTTATTTTTACTCAGTGCTATTTTTCAAGCAATTGACAGTCTTTGCCATGTGAATTCTCATGCATGGAGCCCACATCAGTATAATTTTTAAAACCATGTGCTGACTACATGATTCATGTATTCAACAGCTATTTGCTGAGCATGTATTTAAGGCAATGCGCTAGGCTTTACCAAATATTAAAACAAATAAAGCCTCAATGCTGTTGGGTTGATTCCCAACTCATAACAACCCTATAGGAGAGAGTAGAATTGCACCCTGGGGTCTCCAAAGCTGACTCTGTATGGGAGCTGACGGCCACATCTCTCTCATGGCAGCCCTAGGAGGCTCAAATTGTTGACCTTAAGTTCTTAATCAATGAACCACCAATGTTCCATCAAATATAAAGGGAGCCCATCATCAATTTCACATTGAGGAAGCTGCTGTGTTTCACTTCATTAAACATTTCGAATGCTACTAAAGACAAATTGTTACACTCTGAGGCCGTGTATTTTAACAGGGGATCTTGTTGCTTTGGCTGCAGGGATTCCCACTCCCCACCCAAGTAATTCTTGTGTATGAAACAGATGCTTGTTTTAAAAAAATTATAAAGATTCTTGTGTTTTCAAGTCTAAATCTGGGGTCCATGTCCTAGCTTGAGTCCAGATATGAATCAAATGAAATTATGTGTTCAATTGCACATTTATTAAGCTATGAACAATTAAACACAATTCTGTTTATGGAGAAACACTTGCTTTCACATGCCTATCTAATCTGAGCCCATGTTGATGTAACGGAGAACCTGATGGAGACACACGTAGTCCTTACCTTCCTTTGCAGCTCTTGCGATGCTTACGATATCAGTGACATTTGGGGTCAATTTGGCAAAAAAAGGAACTCGAACAGCTTGCCTAACCCAACGGCAGATGTTCCGCACCAGCTCTGGATCCTGTTCAAATAGGTCAGTTAAATATAGAACATAATTAAAGATTTGTGCCCAGAATGTGTACCAGAACAACAGCAGAGCTGGAGACATGCAAGACAAATGCAACTTGACAATGAGCTACATGATCTATTTCCCAAATTCTTCCTCAGTATTACACCTAGACTCATTAGGGAACGAAGGTTAACACACATCAAGGGGACTGAAAATTCATCACATAAAGGTTAAATTCCTCAAGGGAATCTTTGGAAATAAAATTACAAAGAACCAGAGGAAGAAAGTATTTCTCACTTGCAGTTAAATAATATCAAGGACAGAACACAAACTTCTGTTGGTCTGTTCAACTTTGTCGGATTTGGGGTGACATCATTGGTTTGAGCTTAATTTCAAAACCAAAGAAAGACAATAATCCAACTCCTCGCGCCTGGTTGAAATCTGACCTGGTGCTATCATTATTATAAGACTTCATTTTTAAAAGTGTGCTCCAAAGAGACTCCAGGTTTGACTTAATAATCAATCTAAACAGGGTAGGTACTATATGGAAATCTGGAACATTTCAGCCTGAGATTATGCATGTACCGCTCGGTAACTCAACTTCCTTTTGTAAATGTCACTGAGATCTGTACAGCGTTTCCCCACATTTATCTACTTCAGAGAATTGATCAAAAGGACAAAAATGAAACAAAATATCAAGTGCTCATTTTTAAAAACAAGGGATAGACATTTTCTTGCACTTGTTTCTTGTGATTTTTCAAGCTTTTATTTCCCCATGGGACAAGTATCATTTAGAGGGAAATCACCTATCCTTTTCCACTGGAAATAACAGCTGTAGTAATGTTCTTTGATTTCAACACATACAATAGTCCTTTTTCTCTCTCCATTACTCTTAGTGCACAATTTAATCTGACAGATACTGATAATGTGCTTTGATAAATTACCTTAAAATATGCAATAGCAATTCATTATTGAACGGGGAAATATTATCTTAGCAAGTTAAAATGTTTTTTGATTAAAAGAAATGCCTAGAAAAAGATAGACGTATATTTAAACTATACAGTAGTAGGCAAGTGTATCATTTGTAATTAGTATTTTTATATGTAAGGAAGTTGCTCTTTGCATTTTAACCTTTAAAATCCTAAGATGAGATTTCTAATGTTATAACCTTTAGAAAGAACCTTTTCATTGAGGTTTAATGTGGGGTGATCCTTCATTCTGTATTTGAAAAGTCTGCATTTATGTGCTAAGGTACTGCAATGAGGTAGTTTCTATTGATTCTTATCGTCTCTATTCAGCACCACTTAATAATTTTAACAAGAAATCTTTGGCTTGGCTTGTTCTCTTTTCAGAACGGTAATTTCTTCATTAAACATAAATATTAAAAAAGCACTATATGGAATGCTCTATGGGGCATCTGTACATTATGAATAGTAAAATCTGGAGACTTAGCTGTACAAATTCTAACTCGTGAAAATGGAGATATAGCCCTGCCCATGCAATGTTCATGAAATATTTATAACCGTTGCATTGGCATTATGAAGGCAGTTGCATCTTTGTGACTTTCATTTTTAAGTTATGAATTTCCCTGGGACTTAGCCTAGAAATGACAGTAACTTTGGATGATATGAATTGCATGTCCTTTGTGAAAGTTCTCTTTAAGTAGAATTTGACAATAATTGAATGATCACTTGAAATACATGGAGGATGGCTGATAAGAATCACTGGAACAAATTTCAAATATTACTTGGTTCTATTAAATGCTAATAATTTGATATAAGCTTCTAAGTGGCTTTCTATACTATTGACTAATGAGTCTTCATAATTTACCTCAAGCATTTATCAGGCCACTTTTCTGTTGATTCTTCACTGTCTCTGCTAGACTAGTTTAATGAATCTCTTTTGCATCTTTCTTTTTTATTCCATTTATTTATTTTAAATAATTTTATTGGGGGCTTGTACAATTCTTATCACAATCCATACACCCATCCATTGTGTCAAGCACATTTGTACATTTGTTGTCATCATCATTCTCAAAACGTTTTCTTTCTCCTTGAGCCCTTGATATCAGCTACAATTTGGAATTTGCTCAATATTTTCCAGGTAGGTTTTCTTTTAATCCAATTCCTTGGCTACTGTTATTTACTAGAATGAAGTGTCTATTTCAAGAGATCATAATTTGATACTTATACAGTTCTGTGACCATCAATTGGTTGAATTCCGAGTAGCCAGTTTATAGAAGCACATCAGCGCTGAGATGCTTCTACCGCCGTTGACTTTGCACCCGCTGACGTGTGATCTTTCTGCATTCAACGTCATTATGTGTGTTTTTGTGAGCTGAAGAGGACTTTATAGATTGGTATCAGGCATATGGGCTAATATCGGACTTATGGACTTGATCTGAACTGGGCTGGGATGTTTTCTCAATATTCCACTGCTCTTGCATATAAACTTCTTTCATATTCACATATGAGTCTCTATGGATTTGTTTCTCTAGTCTACCCGACTAACACACTCAAGCAGCAATCAAGAAATCAAGTAACACATTGCATTTGGTAACTCTACAAAAAGATTTCTTTAAAGTGATCAAGTGCAAAGCTGTAGCAGGACTAAGATATTTCCGATTACCTCACTTGCGTGTGAACACTGGGAAGTGAGCACGGAAGACTACAGAAGAAATGATGCATTGCCATTGTGGTGTGATATAGACTCTTTTGTAAGCCATAGTCTTCCAAAGCACACAAATCTGTTTTAGAAAAAGTACAGGCAAATCACTCCTTAACAGTGACGATGAGACTTTATCTCGTGTACTTTGAACTTATAAGGAAGGTTCAGTCCATGGAGAACAACGTTAGGCTTGGCAAAGTGGAGGGCCAGGGAACAAGAAGAAGCACTTCAATGAGAAGGGTTGACCTAATAGCTGCAACTCTGGATTCATACTAAGAGTTTTGAGGATTGCACTGGATTGGAAAGGATTTCCTTCTGTTGTGCATTGGGTCACTGAGTCAGAACTACTTCAAGGGCATCAAAGAAAAACAATGACATCACTTTCAAGTCCACATGAATGACCCTAAGGTGACTTCTATCTTGGAAGAGGTACGAAGGGGGTACCTCTTCCCCAAATTAAATTTTTTTCAAAGCTATGTATTTAATTTTTTTGTGTGTACAAAACAACCTTGCCACCTTCAAAGTACTCTCCATGACACTTAATACATTTGTTAAATCGGCAATTCCGTTCTTGGAAACATTTCTCAAACTCATCTGTTTGGATAGCTGACAGCATCTCCCCCATTTATTTTATTTATCTCTGCTATGCCCTCAAATCACTGTCCTTTCATGTCTCTCTTCATTCACAGAAACGGAGTGAGGTTAGGTGAGTTAGCTGCATGGGGCAAGAAAGGCATGCTGGTTTTGCCCCAAACTGCTGTACTGAGATGGCTGCATGAGCAGGTGCATTGTCATGGGTGCAAAGCCAGTCTTCCATCTGCCACATATCAGGCCTTTTTAGTGGCACACACCGTTATGCTATCTTTTCAGATCCTCTAATTAGGAAGCTTGCTTAGCAGTCTGACCTGGTGGAATGAACTCCAAATGCACCTGTGAGTTGATATGTTTGCCCATTCAGGAAGTTGATGAGTGTCTCGAATAAGGTTTGTCATCAATTTACACTTCACCTTTTTTGAAATGAATAACAACTCATACACTTGAGTTTTCCTCATAGCACTGTCCTTTCAAGCTGTGTTCAACATCACAACAGTTTCTGCCACATTTTCCTAAGCAGGAAACAAAATTTCACAACCCCATGCTGTTCTCTTAAATCACAAAAAACTTAATTTGAGTGAAACTGCTTTGACGAAAAAATTCAGTGACCAGACAAAACCTTCCCAGGTGGTGCCACTAGGTGCACTTACTTACAGCTAGTAGCTTGATGCTCGCCTAGCAGGAAAAATGTGTAGTATGAGAGCTCTGCTCTGCCCAGCGCAATCCTGGTTTTTTGTTTTTTAGGGTCTTTTTTTGAGCGGGGGGAGTTATCCCCTCATACAGTCAGTATGCTCTATAGGACTGTGGGTAGCAAGACTTTGTCTAATGCACATTGGTTATTTTATCAGGAAAGACCAGTGCCTGGAGATAGACATTGTTCTTGGTGATGCAGAGGGGTAGTGTAAAAAGGGAAAGCCCTCGATGAGACAAATTGGTACAGTGACTGCAACATTGGGCTCAAACAATAACTATGAAGATGCTACAGTAACGGGCAGTGTTTCCTTCTATCATACGAGGAGTTGGAACCAACTAGACAACACCTAACAACAATGACCACAAAGAGCACTGTCCCTTTGTGAGAACTCCAATTGTAATTGTAATTTTCAACAATTATTTAAGGCATCATATTTCATTTTTCTCAATGCCTTTTACAAAGCAGCAATCCAATGTTATCTTTAGAATTTTGCCATTCAGTTGGATAACCCATTTAATGCCCCTATGAACCTCTGCTACCACACTGAACAGAATCTTATTAATATTTAGTGTCAAGTTTAATCATAGAATAATGTGTCATAAATAGTGTGAAAAATGGATTAAGTGTAACAACCCTTAAACTACATGAATACTAACAAGAAAACTGTTTTGTAAAAGATTTCTATATTGAATTAATTGCAATAGTAAGTGAGCAGACGTCTTGTGTATTTTTTCCTTTCTGTTTAATTACTATCTAATCTTCAAAATAAAGTTATTGATATCAGTTCACAAATACTAGTTACCACAGTATGATAGGAAAAACACCAGAAACTTTGACGCAATCAGTGACGACAGAATCACCTGCAGTGACAGAGAAACCAAACATAAAACAATAGTGTGGCTCGTGGCACATCCAGAACAACGTAAATGCAGTGCTGCACAGTCGGTCATAATCTGCTCTACATGGTAACTGAAGTGCAGTGACAGCTTTGGGTCCAACTCACTAGAGGATTTTAAAAGGAAAGTAGCCTAGAGATTTATTCTTGCAGGTATATCAA